ATTTGCATGTACATCCATATGTATAATCGTATATGTAACTAATTTTAGCATATATGAATATGAACTTTTTTATACCAAGGCAAATATGTATTTGTATCTGTGATTGATAAGTGGATACGGATATGATCAGTATTATTTCTGTATCATATCTGAGTCGCATCCGAACTATTTGCACCCCTATTAACGTTATATATTAAGCTAACATAGTCATACTCCCTTTAAAAGAGGCAGTTGTGGAAAAACTTTTCGTGGACTATATTGCCCCAATTCTTTTTTGCTATTATATTCTAATCATAAATTAACTAAATCAATTATCATTATTAATTAATCATATTACGTGTCAATTCAATTTTGTCTAACTTGACCCTAAAGCTTCCAATGTTATTGTAAAACTCTCATATTAATTATTAATAATGCATAATACTATATTGATAGACAATTGCAAGCTAATAAATTATTTTAGAATGAGTATAAAATATATAATTGTCCTAAAATTATATCGTGGCACTCACATAAAAAAATTATAAAGAGTATTCTTGCGTACGTAAGTAAAAACATGCAATTTTATAAAATATTAGGATATTTAAGTACATTAAGATATAAGTAGAGGTATATGAGTGTAACTTTCGTATGTTGTAAACTATATATGTTTAATTAAGCCTATAAAGATTTTAATCCTTTGTTAAACACAAGCAATAGTATGTGACCCATTTGATAAATAATATACATCGTATAATATGAGACTAGAGAATTAGCTTATATTTATATAGTACAGAAGATGTGGAAAATTTTTAAGCATCATATTTTGAATAATTCTTAAGATTTTGAATTATAAATAAAATTATATACTTCGCTTAGAATCATACTCCCTTTAAAAGAGGAAGTTGTAGAAGAAACTTTCTATGAACTATATTACCCCTATTTTTTAAATATTATATTTTAATCCTAACTAAACTAAATTAATTATTATGATTAATTAATCATATTATATGCCACTTTAAGTTTGCCTTGGTCCCTAAAACTTTCAATATTATTGTAAAACTCTCATATTAATTATTAATAATGTCTAATAATATATTAATAGACAATTGCATGTTAATAAATTATTAATGGAAAGTGTAGAAAATATAGTATTATCCTAAAATTATATCATTATATTCATATAGGAAAATTACAAATAGTATTCTTGTGTATTGAAGGTATATACATTCAATATTAAAAAATTAGGATAATTAAGTGCAGAAAGATACAAGTGGAGGTATGTAATTAAAACTTTTATAAACTAAAAGGTATTTAATTTAATTAAGCCAATAAATGTTTAAAGCCTTTGTTAACCACAAGCAATAGTATGTGATCCCTTTGATAAATAATATTCATCATATAATATGAGGCCAGGTGGTTAGCTTATATTTATATACTAGAGGAAATGTGGGAAAATTAAAGCATCATATTTTGAATAATCTTAAGATTTTGAATTATTTTTGAATTTATATACTTTGCTTAGAAAACTTTAGAATAGGCTTTCGAATGACTACTACAAAGTGTTGGACATCATATAAATACTAGACAAATAAAATCCATGATATTGGATTGTAATAATCGAGGTTATGTAAAAAATATCTGGGTGTCATATGAGATAATGCTCATACATAATACAACATTATAATCTATAATCTCAGATATTGATGAATTTTCAACATAAGAATTTGCGTCAAGATATATGCTTGAGATTTGGAAGAGCTGAGAGTGGAGAGATTTGAGATATGAATTGTGGCTTTTGTGACTTGTGCTTTAGTTTTGGTTTCCAAACAAGACCTAATACCATGCCCACAATCAAAGTAAAAATGACTCGATTTTATTATACCAGCCAATATTTTCGATAATGATCAATATATGAGAAACCTCCCCCCCAACAAATAATAATATAAAACCATAAATATTATTAAGATAAAGTATTTAACCTTTGATATCAGTCGATAGAGCAATATATCGGCCAATATTTTATATATTGCCTATAAGAGCAATATTTAAAGGTAATTTAGATATAATTTCATTAATTTTAAATCTCCAATGTAAAACCCTAAAAATTTGAATATAATGTGATAAATAATTATAAATATGTTATATGGTGAGAATAATATATTTTTGATGTTTGAGTATGATAAGAATTGATTTGAGGTCAATTCAATGTATATTTGTGAATATATGAGTTCAAAGGCACAAAACATGCACAAATGCAAAGAGTGATAATCTGAGAATTTTGACCAGTTGAGAGTTTCTATATTTTTTACACTGATTTTTTTTTAGAAACTGGAAAAGTGTATAAGAGCAAAGTTGTAGGTCTTTTCAAGAGCTTTTCAATGAATCTTAGATCACCTTATTCCGAGATCGTATGAGAAAGTTACAACCTTTTTACCGAACTCCAGTCTGAGCATGGCCCAGAACCCTGCGCAGTCAACCGCCGTGGTCGATGCGGTCGACCGCTGGGCGAACCAGGTTATGTCAGTTCTGTTTCGGGTCGGGTTTTGTTTATACCAAACTCGGTCATTACCCTAGGTATTTATACTCGTTTTGAAGCTCTCAGAACCCTCTTTTGAACCCTAATAGCCTCAGCCCCCCTTCTCTCTCTCCTCTCAAATCCTAGCTCGGATTTTGGCATTTTTGGGGCGTTTCGAAGGATTTTCGGTGGGGTTTCGCGGTTCAGGTTGAAGGAGGATTATCTTCTGGAGATTTTTCAGCACCTGAGGCGAGTAACATCTCGCCCAATCCCTCATCCATATTTCTACGAATTATTATAATGATTTTCATGAGTTTTGATGAGCCTAAAATGTATTTTTGTATAAAGATGGATTCTCTATAATGTGGATTGTAAGAATCAAATGTTTCAGTTTATAACTTGCTTAAACAAGAGTTAAATCACGATTTACTATTTTCAAAACGTTTTTAACATATTTCATATGTGTTTAGAGTGTTGGGGATGTAGTTTACGTGTTTAAATTTCATTGTTTTCTATCATATGATATATTAGAAATGTTAGATTTATATTAGTAAAGAAATCATCAAGTTTGTATGTGGTTCGAAGCTGACAGAAACCCTAACTGGGCTTCTGTCTGCTTCGCGGTCGACCACAGTGGACACGACGGTCGACCGCTGGGTGCTTTGTTGAGCAGAAGTGTTTCTGCTCTTTTCACGGTCGACCGGAGTGACCTCTGCGGTCGATCGCCGCTCAGTTTTGAGCTCAGTGGATTTGTGCTTTGTGTACGGTCGACCGGAGTAACCTCTGCGGTCGACCGCCGCACAGTTCTGTGTACTGTTGATTTTTGTTGAGCATTTCGCGTGTTCGAGAGATCGCCTCGATTATCTGACACTATTTTATAAATGTTAGTGATTTATCTGTACATGTGAGTTGACTTTTTGACACAAGTTTAAACCCGCACATCGAAACACGTGCGAGTTTGGGATGTGTATATCTTTCCACATATACCTTTTACAATTTCACCTCTTTATTCATAGTCCATGTGTTGGGCATACATTACTATTAATCCATGTGTTGGATACTTATCATCTCGGTCCATGTGTTGGACATGCATTTTATTCAGTCCATGTGTTGGACATGCATTACCTTTAGTCCATGTGTTGGACATTTCGCTAAACCTTGAGCACGATACATATTTGAGTTTTGAGCAGGACATATTGATAAAGTTTGGACATGATAGCTACCTAGGCTGGACATGACACTTATTGTAACTTTGTAACTTTGACATAACTATGTTTATTGGTAGAGATGGGATTGTTGTCTTTTCTTTATTGTTCATGTATTAGACTCCGAGTTTGGTACTTAGGGATTTTCAATTTGAGATACAAGGTATATAGATGAGAGTTTTCTTGTTTGGATAATTTCGCTAGACGTACCTATGCTCGTGTTGAAATTTCCTAAGTACTAAAACCCATTATTCTTAGGATAAATAATTTTATATTATTATATATTAACTGTATTTTCATATACAATGAGCCCTTTCCCTTGGGGTTGGTTGTGATGTTGCTCGCTAGCGCTTTGACGCTCATTGTCCCTCCCCCTTTCAGGTAACGAGCCAGGAGCCCGGAGAGTCGCAGGTTGATGGCTATGTACTTTAGCTTCAGCTGTCTATTTAGTTATATTTTCTTTCAAGCTCCACTGTAGACTCTTGTTTAGACATTTGAGAGTTTTATTCTATAGTTGTAAAGGCTGTAATGCCTTATTTCCATTTGTCAGACATTTTGTAAATTAAGATTTGTTGAGGGCTCCAGTTTATTCATTACAGACATTAACTTGTATTTCAGTGTGTTAGATGATGAAATATTAATTCGATCTCTATTATTTCATCGGTTAACTCTTGTATTATCTTTTACTTGCTTTTGTACCTATACTTGTTAATGACTCTACTAGAGAGATAGTAATTGTGATGGTAAAACATGTTATTGCACGGTATAGTGCATGGCAGGTTTGACATTCTTGGTTTCACTTTGGACTGCAGCCTTGTGTGAACCCAGGGGCGTCACAGTTGGTATCAGAGCTCTAGTTCCAGTATCCTTAGGATCATCCTGTGTCGAGTCGTGGAGCTAGGATAGAGTTTCTTAGGATTCATGTATAGAGTCCGTAAGGAATTCCTAGTATGAGTGAGGACGATATATGCGTATATCTCAAAATTTGAGAATTTTTTTTTATGACAACTATTTTATTTTGACTGAAAGTATTTGCGTGAATATTATGTGTTATATATATTTTTTTTTTTTTTTTGAAAGATAAGTATAATTTCATTAAAACCAAATACACGTACAAAGTGACAGTATTGGCAAAATAACAACAGGAATCTAAACTAGAGAAACTATAGAGAGGGGAGAGGACCATGGCCGTCACCCTCAACTATAGAGCCCTAGAAAGATTCATGAGTTATCAAAGCCACATGATTACAAAAGTACCCTCAGTTACATAACAGAACAACCAGCTCACGAAGGGACAATCACAGTTTTACATAGCTCCAATTTGATAGAATATCTGAATTACCAACCTTCCAATTGCAAGTCCTAAGCAGAATATTAATGTCTTCATATATTCTCCTAAACACCATAATCTTATGTAGTTTTTGATCATGGAAAATCCTTTTATTCCTTTCCTGCCAAATATGCCAAACAGTTGCATTTAGTGCTAATCTAGCCAAGATATAGGTATTATCTTTCTTCTTGAACTTTTGTTGGATTTCCAGGGCTTCTGTCTTAAGATCCTTAACATCAGTAATTTTCATTTGCAGTTTCAGTTTACATAGCTTCCAGATATATGCTGAATATTGACATTGGAAGAATAAATGATCCCTAGTCTCCTTGTATGAATTACAAAGAGCACAGACTTCTATTGAAGTTATACCAAATTTGAATAGTCTGTCTCTTGTAGCTAACCTGTTACATAAACTTCTGAGCATGCAACAAGACATTCTAGGATTTGAGTTTGGGAACCATACCACATTGTAAAGCTCAAATTTGTCATAGGATGTACGAACTTGATTCCAAGCTGAAGAAAAGGAGAAATCACCATCACCTGTATGCAACCATATCCATTGATCTTTTTAACCTGAAACTGATATATTAGTAATGGATGATATCAGAGGATTAAGGCATGGCAGTATGATATTCCATTGAGAATTTTGGATGATACGAGAGACTGTCCAAGTAGTAGTGTCTGTGTGTTGAGGAGTGAGATAATGTAGTAGTTCAATAATTCTTCCTTCCTGTAACCATGGGTCAAACCAAAGGGAAGTGGTCTCTCCATTCCCAATAGATTTCATAATGCATTTCAGAGCTTGATTTTTGAGACTAGATATATGCTTCCAGGTTCCAGAATCCAACAGATTTGTATTAGATTCCCAAAAATTGTCTCCCCTGATATATCTGACATTCATCCAGTTTGTCCAAAGAGAATTAGCTGTAAGAAGTCTCCATATCAATTTAAGGGCAGCTGCTTGACTTAGATCCTTCAATCTTCTCAGACCAAATCCCCCTTCCTGTTTTGGTCGACAAACTTCCTTCCAGTTGATAGCATGAAACTGTCCAGACCAAAGAAAATTTGCAAAGATAGATTCCAGGTTTTGTATAATGGAATGAGGGAATTTATATACAAAATACCAGTAAGCAGAGGTACTGAATAATACTGATTTGATGAGTTCTAGACGACCTGCAAAGGATAAAGAATGAGACATCCAACCTTCAATCTTATGTCTGACCTTGTCAATAAGTGGAAGAAAATCCTTTGTTTTTGGGTATTTTGCAGATAAAGGTAATCCTAAATATTTCATAGGAAGAGTCCCTATTGAAATTCCCACAATAGAGCTTAACACTCCTTTACAGTTGCATCCTTTGCTGAAATATAATTTGCTTTTCTTTCTGTTTATACACAGTCCAGTATTCAAAGCCATAGTATCCAACAGATTATTGATACCTTCAAAAGATTTTTTATTTGCTCTACAAAAAACCAACATATCATCTGCAAACAATATATGAGAGACTTGAAGATCATGTTGAGTTTTAAAATTCTGTATTTTCCCTGAGATAACTGCTAGCTCCATACCAATAGACCAAAATTCCATGACCATAACAAAGATATAAGGAGATAGAGGATCCCCTTGTCTAATACCTCTATTACTTTTAAAAAAACCTGAAGAGGAACCATTTAAGAGGACAGAAAAGGAAGGAGTGGAAAGACATGCTCTGATCCAAGAAATCCATTTAACAGGAAAGCCCATACAATGCATAACATAGTATACAAATTCCCTGTTGATGCTATCAAAAGCCTTGTGAAGATCAATTTTAAAACAGGCTCTCTTGCCATGATTCCTATTGAAATCTCTAAGTAATTCATGAGCAAGTAAAGAACACTCACCAATATGTCTCCCCTGAAGAAAAGCATGCTGATTCTTTGAAATTAATTCCCCAATCACCATCTTTAATCTATTGGCCAGAATCTTAGTAATAATCTTATAAATGACATTGCAACATGAAATAGGTCTGTAATCTTGAATGGAAGTAGCTTCCTTTGATTTCGGTACAAGAGTGAGAAATGTATGATTGATCTGCTTAAGAATTGTACCAGATTTGAAGAAAGATTGCACTGCCAAGACAACATCACCACTGATCATGTTCCAATTTTGTTGATAGAAATATGCGTTGAAGCCATCTGGTCCTGGAGCCTTATCTGCATTCATTTGGAAGAGGGCATTTCTAATCTCTTTGTAGTTAACTTCCTGAACTAACCATTGTTTAGACTCAGCAGTCAGAATCCTCTTTACTGTCAATTTAGGAAAGACATTCCAGTAAGATGTTTGATTGAAAAGATCTTCATAAAAGCTGGCAGCAATGTGTTTAATATTGTCATTTGAAGTGATATGTGATCCATTTTGAGCAATAATATGTCTGATACAATTTGTAGAATTTCTATGCTTGATAGCATTATAGAAGAATAGAGTATTTTTTTATCTCCTTGCTGAAGCCATAGCTGTCTACTCTTCTGCCTCATCTCCTCTTCTTCTCTACATAGCCAACCATCTAGTTCAATAATTATTGCAGATTCTGAGTCCTGTAGGTCCTCATTATGAAAGTCCTGATTTAGCTTCTGTTGAATGATATCCAATTTGTTTTTAAGCTTCATAATGTTAGCTTTAGGAGATACATCAGACTGATTTGTCCATTGCTTCAATGTCAGTTTAAGATCCTTAAGTTTAGAAACCAAAATAAACATAGGAGAACCTGTGTAATGTTTGTTCCAAACACATCTGAGAATTTCTTCATAACCCTGACATTGCATCCAGAAATTAAAAAATCTAAAAGGTTTTGGTCCAGACTGTAATTTGGGAGTCAGATGAAGGAGCGCTAGAGTATGGTCACTAGTTGAAGTACTCTTATATTCTATAAAGGCTTGAGGAAATTGATCAAACAATTTAGTATTTCCCAGACCTCTATCCAATTTACCATATATTCTGCCTTGACCTTGTTGTTTATTATGCCATGTCCATAGAGAACCAGTGCTCTTGATATCAGATAGACCACATGATTGAATACAATCATTAAAATCCTGGAGTTTCTTAACAGTAAGATGTCTACCTCCAATTTTTTCTGTAGTAAATCTACAAACATTGAAGTCCCCCACAAGCAACCATGGCATTGATTTAAATTTATCATAGATGTCTCTAATGTCAGCCCATAATGATAATCTTGCAGATTCTGAATTTTCCCCATAAATGACACTCAACAATAAGTTGAAACCTCCTTTGTTTTGAAGTCTAATGGTTATAACTTGTAAAGTAGCAGATAATACATCACCATTCCAGATATCAGAATCCCATACCACCCAGATTCTCCCTCTATCAGAAGCAAAATAATTGTTGCAAAAAGACCAATGAGCAGGAATACATTTAGTAATTCTGTAAGCTTTAGCTGATTTGACTTTTGTCTCTAATAAACCAACAATACTTGGCTTTAAAGATAAAATATGATTTTTAATATCCCTTCTCCTTCCCAATTTATTCATGCCTCTAACATTCCAAAATAACATAGTCATAAGATATTAGCAGAGGAGGATCTTGTAACCCTCTTTGTACCTGAGGGGTCTTTATTCACTTTGACCTGGCTTTTCTTCTTCATAATCAGCTGGTCTTTTTCTGTTATCCAGTCAGGATTATCAACAGCAATAGTAAAATCTAATCCTTTCTCTTTTGAATTATCCACATCAGATTGCAAAGAATCCAAAAAAACTGCATTATTTTTAGTCTGTTCTGAATTATTCTCAGTAATAGGAACATCTGTAACTGTAATGTCAGAGGAACCTGGTATATCTTCTAAGATATTAGCAGAGACAGATTGTTGAGGATCATGAATAAAATCATAATTGTTTCTATTAACAGCAACCTTGTTCATAGAATCAGATTTATGTGGCAGCTCTGTTTCCAGGGTATCAGTTGTATCAGAGTAAGGAGATTTATCTTTCATAGATAACTCTTGGGCATTTAATTTATCCTTTTTAGCTTGGCTTTCATCATTATGAGACACCAACTCTCGATCAGAAAAATCCTCAGAATCCGAAAGAACATCATTAATGGCAACATCATCTTCATTAATGGCATGAATTATACTTCCATTATTTGTAGCTTCAACATTTATCTGACTCTTATTAATAACAGCATCTTCATTTAGTAGGCCTTCATTATGTTTAATCATAGATTCTCCAAACCCTGTTTCATTCAATGTTGTTTTAGCCACCCACTTCTCAACTATAACAACTGGACACTGATGATCAACATGGCCAAAATTCTGACATTTAACACATTTAGGTGGAATCCATTCATACTCAACGGCAGTTTCCAACCAATCTCCATTCCCTAAATCCATCCTTATATAATTTGGTAGCTTAGCTTTAGATGAAATTTCCACAAAACATCTAGCATATGCTAGCCTTTCCCCCGATGCTGTCGCTTGATCTATATAAAGAGGTTTACCCACAATACTAGCAATACGACCAATAATATTATTAGACCAAAGCTTTAGATGCAGAGCTGGAAGTCTAATCCAAACTGGAACTGAGTTAAGGAGTTCTCTTTCTAATCCAATGTTTTCAGACCACTTTTTTAATATAATTAGCCTTCCGTCAAATAATCAAGGCCCTCCATTCAAAACTCTGTTTAATTCCTCCTTACTTCCAAATTTAAAGAAGAAAAAACCATTTTCCCTAGAATATATCTCAAGAGAACATTTTAGTTTCCATAGCCGACCAACACAACCTTTTAAATGGGTATAAAAAGGTTTATCACCAAGAACATATCCAATTAAAGTATTATTCCATTTATCAACATTAAGAAGAATTTCAGATCTTGGAATAGAAGCATATAACAAACCATTGCTATCAATAGATGGAGGAAAATATTCTAATGAACAATTCTGATTTACCTCACGACCCATTGTACATACATCTTTCCAAGTTGTAGATCCGCCCGATTTGAATTTCCAGTTAATTGCATGTTGATGTGATGATTGTTGATCTAAATCTTTAGATATTGATTGTTGAAACCCATCAGCAATCTTTTTTGATTCAAATTGAACATTCTTCCGAAGTTTACCATTATATGAAACTTATTCCTCTTATGCCTTCTATTGCTAACACCTCAATTACAGGTCAACAAGATAGCTGGAAATGGCTACCATCAGGTAACGGGGAGTTTTCTTTTCATTCAGCGTGGAATCACATTCGTAGCTCTGGTGCTGCATTTGAACTCTACAATGTGGTTTGGTATCCTTCTTCAAATCCAAGGATGTCTTATTGCTTGCTCAAAGCTCTGTATAATAGATTACCAACCAGAGACAGACTGATTAATTTTGGAATTTCATCTTCTGAAATCTGTGTGCTCTGTGATCTAGCGAAGGAATCTAGAGACCACCTTTATTTCCAATGCCCTTACTTGGTTTATATCTGGAAACTTTGCAAGCTAAAGCTGCAGATGAACGACTCTGATAACAAAGACCTGAACACAGAAGCTCAAAACATCCAACAAAAGTTCAAGTCAAAAGATAAATCTTATATATTGGCAAGATTAGCGCTGAATTCAACTGTCTGGCAAGTATGGCAGGAAAGGAATAGAAGAATCTTTCAGAATCAAAAAATGCACAAGATTATGGTATTCAGAAGAATATATGAAGACATAAATATTTTGCTCAGAACATGCAATTGGAAGGTTGGAAACTCTAAGATCCTATCGAATTGGGGTTATGACAAACTATGAAGAAAATCCATTGTTGAGCTCAAAGTCTTGTTACTTTTGATAGTACTGTAGGTTTTTCTTTTGGCTTTGGGTCAATCTGATACTTTACCAGGTTCTCTATAGTAGAGGGTGACGGCCATGGTCCTCTCCCCTCTCTATAGTTTTCTTGGTAAAGATTCTCAGAGTAGCCTAGCCAAATTTTGTAAATAATGTACTAGTGTTTCTTGGTATTAATGAAATTTACTTATCTTTCAAAAAAAAAAAAAATATATAGGATGTGGTCGAGGTAAAACTCATACCTGGAGAGCTGGGCATGCAGAGCCAAGCCACAGCAGGCTCCACAGTATTTGATCGACATCATGGCACCTTTAGCAGCAAGATCTTACAACAATTGAGGAGCAAGAAGTGTATCCATTTCCGTCAACTATACCACTTTCAAGAGATTCACCACCGGCTATACCCGTCGTGGAAGTAAAAATGAAATACCAATGAGTACACCACCACCGTAATCATTTGTTGATAGAGCCGCAGAGCGGGAGATTTAACTCTAAAAGGATAAGAAAAGTATCAGACAGTATGAGCACCAGAATTTCAAGGCACGCAAATTTCATTTGCAACCTATAAAGGGAAGAAGTATGTGAAAATTTCTTGAACGTCGACTTAGTACCAAAGCAGTAGTTAGATGTATTCGGCATATAGAACATCACTAGAGGGTAACAACGACTTTAGATTTTCGACGGAGCAGCAAGCATCAATTATTTAGGAGAATTTTGGTCACTGCTTCAACAAGCAGTTAGAGCTAGTCCGAATGAAGCAGGGAGATATACCCATAGTGAATGAAGAAATCAAATCCAGAATAATGACAATTAAATGGCAAGAGAACTATTATGAAAATCTAGAGAACCCTAGTGGCGGGAGAATGATTTTACCCCAGCAACAAGGACAATATAAGAAAGGAGCACAATATGATTCGAGAGCGCCGAAGCAGCGCAGAGTTCGAGTACATGTTATAATTACAACAAGATCGAACAAAGAGCGAAAGAATTATCACAGTACACCAGCAGAGAGCCAGCAAGATAGAGGTCACGGACGACAGTCTCAGAGTCGTAATTATAGCCAGCAGTGGGGAAATAGAGGCATTACTTGCTAATCTGAGGATTAAGGGTCAGCAGGCCATATTTGCATCACCCAGGAGATTTGCACTATCCAGCAGAGTCTATTCAGTCGTACCGCGTGATCAGGGTACGAGCGGAGCTTTCTTCAAAATTTCCTTTTCAGCTCGGATCTAGTTTGAGTTAGGAAATTTGCTTACTTCTTATCTTTCATACCTTCGTTGATAGGTTTCAACTTGTAGCACATTCCATAGATATTCCGTTGTTAGTCTCTACTCCTCTAGAAGGAGTGTCCCTTCTATCTGTAGGAGATGTGTCATCAGACTAGATGAGTCTGAGTTAGTCATCGAGTTGATCGTGTTGTTGATGTTAAATTTCGACATCATTCTTGGTACGGATTGGTTATCTTCCTACCATGTTAGTATTGACTGCTTTGCGAAGACAGTTAATTTGCGGGCGTCCAATGGGTCCGAGAAGATTATAGCAACCTCTCAGGACAACCGTTTTGCAGAGTCATTTCTGGCATACATCGAGGAGATGATGCGACGGGATCAGGGTGTTGATTTATTGGAGACTAGAGTTGTCTTAGAGTATCAGGATGTCTTTTAGGACATACCTGGATTACCTCCTGTGTGAGAGGTCGAGTTCTGTATTGAGTTGCAGCCAGGCACAGCCCCGATATCCCGTGCACCCTGTCGCATGGCACCAGCTGAGATGAGGGAACTTCAGGCCCAGTTAGACGAGTTATTAGCTCAGGGTTTTATTCATCGGAGTCATTCTCCGTGGGGAGCGCCAGTTCTCTTCGTGAAGAAGAAGGACGACAATATGCGTTTGTGTATTGATTATAGAGAGTTGAACAAGGTCACTATCCGGAATAGGTACCAATTACCTAGGATTTATGACTTGTTCGATCAGCTGCGCGAGGCGCGTGTTTTCCCGAAGATTGATCTTCGTTTTGGGATATTGTAGTTGCGAGTTCGGGAGATGGATTTTCCCAAAGCCATGTTTTTCTGATTCGATATGAATCTTTTGAGTTTCTGGTCACACCATTTGGGTTGACCAATGCATCCGCTGTATTCATGAATTTGATGAACCGGGTTTTCCGTCCCTTTTTGGATCAGTTCGTGATAGTTTTTATCGACGACATCCTCATTTATCCGAGATCGAAGACAGAACACGAGCAGCACCTACGGTTAGCTTTGAGGACTCTACAGGAGCATCAGTTATATGTCAAGTTCAGCAAATGCGAGTTTTGGTTTTCAAAAGTAAGATTTCTGGGCCACGTCATCAGTAGAGAGGGCATAGCATTGGATCCGACTAAAGTTATAGTAGCTCTTAATTGGGAACCGCCGAAGACGGTGACAGAGATTCGAAGCTTTTTGGATTTAGCCGGATATTACAGGAAGATAATCCAGGACATTTGTGGTCTATGCAGATGCATCATTGGCAGATTTAGGAAGCGTCTTGATGTAGAATCAGAGGGTAGTAGCCTATATCTCATAATAATTTAGGGTGCACGAGCAGAACTACCCCACTCATGATTTGGTGTTAGCAGCAGCGGTATTTGCACTGAAGTCACGAGACATTTCTGAAGGGACTCAACCAGAGACAGCGGCGGTGGATTGAGTTTATTAAGAACTATGAATTCGCGATTTAGTACATCCAGGAATAACTAAGATGTACAAGGACTTAAAGAGACACTTTTGGTGGAGTGATAGGCGTAGGAAGATTTCAGAGTATATAGCTAAGTGTCTTACCTATCAGCAAGTGAAGGTGGAACATCAGAGACCGGTAGGAACACTTCCGTATTTACCTGTTTCCAAATAGAAGTGGGCGGACATTTTAATGAACTTTATTGTAGGGTTGCTGAAGTCGAAGAAAGAAAATGATTCCGTTGGGTGATAATGGATAGACTAATGAAGTCAGCACATCTTATTCCAGTGAGGACTACTTATACCGTCGAGGCATATGCGAGGATATTTGTTCGGAAGATAGTTCGACTTCATGGAGTTCCAGACACGATTGTATCGGATCGAGGTTCAGTGTTCACTTTGTACTTTTGGAAGAGTTTCCAGGATTCACTTGGTAGCAGACTATCATACAGTAGTGTATTCCATCCATAGACGGATGGTCAGACGGGGAGAGTAAATCAGGTGTTGGAAGATATGTTACGGGCTTGTGTCATTGACTTTCAAGGCAGCTGGGAGGAATCATATTCCACCGATAGAGTTCACTTATAACAATAGTTATCAAGCGATAATTGGTGCGGCCCCGTATGAAGCATCGTACGGGAGGCCTTGCAGATCGTCTATATGATGGGTAGAGCCGGAGGATAGTTTAATGCTTGGGCCAGAGCTTATGAGATAGATTACTGAGAAAGTAACATTGATCAGAGAACAAATTCTAGCCGCTTAGAGTCAGCAAAAGAGCTATGCAGATAAGAGATGAGGACATTTAGAGTTTCAGGTTTGAAGAGTTAGTTGTGCTGAAAGTATCATCTATGAAAGACGTTCAGCGATTCGAAAGGCGGAGAAAGCTTGAGCTGAAATATATTGGACCGTTTCGGATTTTGGAGCTTATTGGGGCTGTTTCATATGGACTAGACTTTCCAGCATCGATGTCTAGTGTACATAAAGTATTTCATGTTTTAATGTTCAAGAAGCAATTACATGATGAAGAGCAGCAGTGAGTGTTGAACGCATCAGAGATTTAGCTTCAGGATGATTTGACTACGATTAAAATCCCAGTTTGTATACTTGCTAGAGAAGACAATAAATTTAGAAACAAGATATTTTTCCCTTGGTGAAAATTCAGTGGAACCGGAAAGGAGTTGGGGAGGTTTCTCGGGAGTGCGAGGAGGATATACATCGCGACTACCCACAACTGTTTGATCAAGTAAATTAAATTTTTGTATGACTTGTTTATGGCTTATGGTTACCTGTATGGTGATGTTTATATTTAACACTAAAATGAGGGTATTAACACTTATCTCCTAAGTACTTGGAACATATGGTATATATATGAGGGGTTCCTTGTTTGGATTTTTCACTCGGTGTACTTGTTCCATTTAATTAGGGCTTAAGTGGGGGTATTTACATTTTTGATGGTTAAGTGTAGACATCGAAGATGATTTTCGGGAGCGCGAAGATGTTATGCCGCGCGACTTCCTAACCTATTGAGGAAGTGGATTGATTTATGTGTGCGATTATTTGTGTGGTTATATTTAGATTTAACGCTAGAATGAGGATATTTCCGTTTAATTCTTAATCTTTTGGAACACATGGTATATATATGGGGGGTTCCTTGTTTGGATTTTTTGCCCGACGTACTAGTTCCATTCGATTAAGGGATGAGTGGAAATATAGTCATCCTGGACTGTTAAATATAAATATCCCTATATGCTTATCAAGAGTAAATATTCTGAGATGTTTATATTTGCAGATTGAATTAGACCCTCTATGTGTTTTTCTAGTATTATTATTTGCTTAAGTCTGATTTCTGAATTTCGAGGACGAAATTCTTTTAAGGGGGGAAGAATATAAAACCCTGAAAATTTGAATATAATGTGATAAATAATTATAAATATGTTATATGGTGAGAATAATATATTTTTGATGTTTGAGTATGATAAGAATTGATTTGAGTTCAATTCAATGTATATTTGTGAATATATGAGTTCAAAGGCACAAAACATGCACAAATGCAAAGAGTGATAATCTGAGAATTTTGACCAGTTGAGAGTTTCTATATTTTTCATATTAATTTTTTTAGAATCTGGAAACGTGTATAAGATCAAAGTTGTAGGTCTTTTCAAGAGCTTTCCAATGAATCTTAGATCACCTTATTCCGAGATCGTATGAGAAAGTTACAATCTTTTTACCGAACCCCAGTCTGAGCATGGCCCAGAAC